TATAATTAATATTAAAAAACTTAATTATATTTACCTCCTCTTAATATATCAGTAGAAACGAGCGCACGAGCTCTTCTTCCACTACTAGAGCTCGATCGAGCATGACAGGCTTCACACGATTGAGAAATACCGAACTATTCTGCCTCCATGCACGAGGCCCAGTCACTTTTCAATTGTGATTTTCCCACATCTTCTCCCTCGCCTGATCGACAATGACCTTTCCTTCAGCTTCAATCGTAGGCTTCGTCTCCCTCATCTGCTCCCCAGGGTTTCGGTTCTTCTATTCCTCGTATGAGATGCGCGCAACACCTTCCTTTCCGTTCGTCTCTCGTAGGGGGCTTCCACTCTGCAGTTCAGAACCCGTACAAAGTCTCCCGAAAAGGAAAATGGTGATATCTTCCCTTCTATGTTTTGAAACCCATGCTCTTCTTCCTCCTCGCTACTCATTTCTTTTGCAGAGGAACCGCTCGACGCTTATTCCCTATTCAATTAAATAAGGTACGATCTTATTTCTTCCGACTTGCCCACACCCAGTCTCTAAGTCTCATCTTCCCGTTCCTTCCCTTAACTGATTTGAATGAGAGTAAATATTGCTCCTTTATGAACAATTGTTTGGTCCCATGGAAACAATGCTCCCTTTCAAGAACTCACATTATTATTTAATTTTCTATTTATTTTTATTTTATTTTTTTTAACTGGTTATTACATTTCTAGTTAACGACCAATATTTACTCATGAACATGCATCATTAATATAATTAAATGGCTCATGAAACATAATGAGAAACAAAACACAATACTTTGCACTATTTCTAAAATGCGAATACCTATTGTTCCATGCTGAATTATGGACAATAGAAGATGCATGCAGGGAAAACCCTAATAACGTACAAATAATTTAACTATGGCAAAAATAAATCAAAATTCTGGTTAACTTCAAATAACAAGTTTCAAATCTTTGCAAGTTCCAAACAATCAAAGTTCCAGTTAGAATTAAAAACAACAGAAGATAGATCTCTCAATGCAATAAGATCGATGTCACAGTCAGTGTAGAAAACAGCAAAATAGAAGTTCACCTCAGAATGCACCCATGTTTCACCTTAAGAAAATATAATAATGCAAGTAGAGAATCAATGTTCCGCTCTAAACGTACAATCATCACTTATCTAAACGAAAGAGAAAAATCATTGGATGATTTACATACCAATTCTTATGTATTTACATATCTAACACCTAAATTTCAATTTTTATATATATGTCACCTTACCTATGCATGAAAAGCTGTATTTCGCATGAAAAGCTGTATTTCATATCTTAAAAGTTAAAATAGTGGTATTTTTATGTGATAGAAATGATTTGCATAGTATAAATGTATAAAGCAAAGTTCAGGTGTTAGATATGTAAATACATAAGAATTGAATGGTATGTATGTAAATTCCCCAAAATCATTTTAAGAAACAAGATCAGAGAAGTAAAAATCTTGAAAAAAATGATAATTGCATCTAAAACACAGATCAAACTCTACCCTTGCAAATATTACACCCAAAGCAAGGCCATTGGGAATAGAAAAGTGCATACACAGTGCAATTTCAAGACATAAGACTAGAAATCTGCAGGGTCTTGTATAAAAAAGAATTTACTAGCAGAACTTTTCTTCACACAAACTTACTTCAGTAGGAAGGTAAAATTTTTGTCACGATATTCCTCCAAGGCTATTCCTTCTTCTTTAGAATATCTGGTTAAAAAACAAAAGTAAAACATTTATGAGGCTTTTGTATGACAAAACTAATTGGGATGAGGCTGGCTGGAGCTTTGGTTAGACTTTGGAAGAATTTTTTACAAGCTTGATGCTTTGATAGCTTATATACCATGATCCCCAAAAATGGTTGTTTATGAACAAAGAAAAAAAAAAAGCAAAAAATAGCACCTCAAACCAAAATTTTCATTTTGGAAAATAGAGAAAACAAAAGGTTCAAGCCGTCAGAGGCCATCAAAATGTATAAATGATGTCATATTCTTTTTCAATATTACAGTATTCAATTCCAAGAAAGCTAAAAATACCTCCATGAATATTCTTCAGAGAAGCGTGAGACGCCATTCATTGCTGTGAAAGAGTCTATGTGAACCGTCTTACTTGGTAAATGCCTTGAATAACCTATAGACAACAAAATTATAATTTGCTAAACAAAGAGAAATCTGAGTGCGTGAATAGTTTACAAAAACAATTAACAGTAACAAACAATGCAGAACGAACGATGCATATGTAAAAGGCGACATCAACATCGACCTCATGTTTTACTCAGGGAATTGAGCGGTACGTATGTAATGAACAGACAATTACATCAAAAAATGCAACAGAATTCATCGAACACACCTTTTAATGATCAGCAATTGAGGCAGCTCAGAGCACAGAGCCTGGTGTTTCTAGCATTCAGGTATGATTTTGCATACATTAGTTGTATTATGCATGCGTAAGAATTTCATGCTTTTTAACTCCTGTTACCTTACATGTAGAAATAATTTGAAGCCTAGAAGTTGCATCATGAAATCACACAAGGAGCGAAACTACAAGTGTAAATGTTCAAAATTATAGTGTTTATTATTATTACTATTATTTCACTTTTTCATTTTTTTCGCTCTCTACATTTAAAATAGGAAGTGGTGCTGATGGAGCTCCAACAGTGTTCAATGGCTGCAGAGGTACTGATGCACGTGCAAGGGAATCTGTTGACAAACATGAAAAAGCTGGGATCTTTGTTAGGGCAAATGATACTACCAAGGAGTCAAAATCTTCATCTGGTGGAAGTAATATGGACAGAAATTTATCATTGAAGGATGAGGGGAGTGCGAAGAAGAACAAGCAAAATTAGGCCATGTCCATGTTGACCTCATTTTTAGTGAGGTCTG